GTGTGTTAATCTATTTGCCCTACTGAAAAATGCTGCGATACTGTTCTTTTTAATACATTTTACAGAACAGAAATACACAGTTTTGACAACCACCACCGATAGATGTAGAAGTAAAAGTTTGACGAAAGTATATCATAACTCTGACTAAAAACACACAATCCTTAATGTATCTTAGGTTGTATTGGTACTTTATATTGAAGTATTGTATCGACGGAGTTTTCTTAAGAAAACCCACTCTCCGTTTATACGCAACGATGGGTTCTTGAAACCATGTCCAAACAAGAACCACGCTTCACCTTTGTTTTATGTAAAATAAATATGTTTTGTCTGAAAATAAAACATATCCAGAAACATTTCTCTCAAACCCGATGTTGAATACAAATTTCCGTTTCGTTTGTAAAAAAACCGTTTTTATAAAAAAATATATAATTATGTTTGTAATTTTCAATCATGAGACAAAGTAATAACAACCTATTGCTAATAGTGACTGTTTATATGATGTAAGACTTAGCTGTTTTTAACCAACCTCATGTGTCTCTTTGCCCAACTGTAATGTGAGTAAATATTACAAATAAGAATTAATTTTTATGGTATAGCCTCTGGATCACTGGTCAACTAACTACAAACCAGGATCACTTGACGGATACAGGTAATTTAAACCTTCTATTAATAAGTCAATGTACTTTAATGCTGTAGGTTGAAAACCTTTTTAAATAAAATAGATTGGCCGCCTAATCTAATCACGTATTTTCTCGTCCGCATGGTTATAAAAGCCCATTTAAAGTGGTGGCACTGGGACACGTATCACAAGTCTAGCTGCCGTGGTTTCATAATCCGTCTTGCTACCGGTAGGCCATTAACTCATCCAATATAACATGGTAATTAACTATCACCCAAGTAATAGTATTAGTGGCTACTATCACCCAAGTAATAGTAATAGTGGATACTATTACCCAAGTAATAGTAATAGTGGCTACCATCACCCAAATAATTAGTAATAGTGCTAACTACCACCCAAGTAATAGTAATAGTGGCTACTATCACCCAAGTAATAGTAATAGTGGCAACTACCACCCAAGTAATAGTAATAGTGGCTACCATCACCCAAATAATTAGTAATAGTGCTAACTACCACCCAAGTAATAGTAATAGTGGCTACTATCACCCAAGTAATAGTAATAGTGGCAACTACCACCCAAGTAATAGTAATAGTGGCTACTATCACCCAAGTAATAGTAATAGTGGCTACCATCACCCTAGAAATAGTAATAGTGACTACTATCACCCAAGTAATAGTAATAGTGGCTACCATCACCCTAGAAATAGTAATAGTGGCTACTACCACCCAAGTAATAGTAATAGTGGCTACCATCACCCTAGAAATAGTAATAGCGGCTACTATCACTCAAGATTTTCATGATGTTGTAGTTTTGAAGAAAATATACGAATCAGTATATACAAATACATTATCAATTTTTACACACTTCTCAGTATCAGAACTTTTAACATTGGTTTCTCTCAATTCCTGAAAATATCTTATAATTATAATTTGAATAAATTTTGACTAAAAACACACAATCCTTAATGTATCTTAGGTTGTATTGGTACTTTATATTGAAGTATTGTATCGACGGAGTTTTCTTAAGAAAACCCACTCAAAAGATGTATCAATAATTTGTTCAGTATAAAAACGTTTTCCATTATATTTCTGGGCTATTTATTACATTAACTATTAGTGGTCACTATCACTTAAGTAATACTAATAGTGGCTGTAAATACATCATCAAAGAAATACTAATAGTGGCTACTATGGGTCGCCGGAATTTTATCCCCCTGGAATTTTACCCCCTGGGCAAAGCTGACGTCACTATGACGTAGTAACCTGAGTGGCCAAAAGTTTTTAATTAATTTTAATGCTGGGCAACTACCACCCAAGTAATAGTAATAGTGGCTACTATCACCCAAGTAATAGTAATAGTGGCTACCATCACCCTAGAAATAGTAATAGTGACTACTATCACCCAAGTAATAGTAATAGTGGCTACCATCACCCTAGAAATAGTAATAGTGGCTACTATCACCCAAGTAATAGTAATAGTGGCTACCATCACCCTAAAAATAGTAATAGCGGCTACTATCACTCAAGATTTTCATGATGTTGTAGTTTTGAAGAAAATATACGAATCAGTATATACAAATACATTATCAGTTTTTACACACTTCTCAGTATCAGAACTTTTAACATTGGTTTCTCTCAATTCCTGAAAATATCTTATAATGTACCATGCACAGTTTTCAACTCGGTGTGGCATTGTCAGGCGTTAGAGTTATCAATTTTATTTATTATTTTTTAGATGTTTCACATGTTTGAAGTGATTACCGGTACGTCATTATCACTAAATTTTACGTGGTATGTGACGATAGAAACTCGGACATATGATGATGGTTACATAACTCTCTCATGGTTTTGGTATTCTGCACACTGGTCAGCGGTGGTTGCAGTGGATTTTCGACTTTAGGGTTCTGAGTTTCAATACAGTCGATTTTCTGCAATGTGACCAGACCTTTCACTCCCAATCTTAACTTTGACACTTGAAATTTATTTATTTTGTATAGAATAAAATGAGAGATATGATTAGGAAACGTATTCGAAATGTTTAAGAGTGTTTAATATAGCTTTCTACATCCAATCTATGTACTTAATGCAATGAGGGGTTTCTCTGTTACATCCCCTTTTCACCCTCCCAACAGATGTATTCGATCGAGGTATCATTGAGTTCTGTCAATTTTCTAGTGCTGCTGATTGACTTTATTTATAACAGTTTTAGATGTTATTGAATTGTGGTTTAACACCTGGTTACATTCAGTTGGTTAATAAATAACACCCAGATTGAAAAACAGTTTACAAAAATGAACCATAAAGTGCTACTTTTATTTATAATTGCAACATGATTAAATTACGTAAATTATACTACTGTATTTATGGTATATATCTAGAACAGATATATTTAAAATATTATACATTAGTTAATTAGTAGTGTTATTTATATAACGGACCTAATTGTTTCAATCAAACATTCAGATTATCAATAGTTCTCATATTATGGTTTTTTATTGGATTTTAATTTTTTCGACTATAAAATTATCCTTAAAAGGTAAGAGGGTATTATTTGTTATGCCTCGGAGTTAAATTTCGAACCCGAACCCTATTAAAGATGCAAGATTTGCGCACGGGTCTCCTCACTAAAGATGTGAAAATCTGGAATCTTTCCAAGCTATGTACAATGATTTACGGAGGTTTACAAACTTGTGACTGTAGTTGGTTTTCAATGCGAGCGTTAAAATATATTGTGTGGGGAACTATGCGAGCTGTTTGGCTGGAATGCTGACGGCCAAATTGTGTTCCTTCTTGGTTCTACCAAGTAATTACTGAATACTTAAACAAACTTAAACTCGTGAACTTTGAGTTTTTTTAAAACATCTCTTTGAGTCTGTTGCTTTAATCCTTTTTTGGTTGTAATTGTCTTTGGAATTCGGTTTGCTAAGCGCACTATGTGTGATTTGGGACAAGTAGGCAATTCAAAATAAAATAGTATAGATTATTTTTTAAATTTTATTTTAGTGTAAGAGTGGCAAATGAACAACACAAACCTTGCTTTGTGCAGATAAAAAAAATTGACTTATGATATATTTGTAGTCTTCTGTTAATGAATCAAACCGACTCTTTGATAGCTTATCATTATTAGTAATTATTAATCGCGAATCAACTTTACTTAGCTTTTGCAATCGAGTTAAGAACATAAAACACATTCAGAGTAAAGTTTTTATAAGAAAAGTAAGTGTAAGGTAATTCATATCATTTTGATACCATAAACTCATGGAGATGGCAAAATATAAATTTCAAGGGTGAAATAGAAACATTGGTTGAAACATATTGAATACCTAAGATATCAAAAACCACTCCTGAAAGAATCAATTATCAAAACTCTTGTCATCTCGTAGCTTTAAAACGAGTAGCCCCTAAACGTTTGGCTTCAGGCGTATCTACACTTTCATTAGTTTTGAGTTTGGTTATGTGAATCGTTTAAAATCGGATACCAAGTGTTACATATGTAGTGCCTACATGTTCTTAGGTCCGAGTTTTGTTCATTTACAGACATAGGTTAACACATATATTACTCCAGTCTATATAACCAGTTTATAAAATATACTGGGTATGAAAATCCCGTGTATTTTAAACTTAACATTGAAAATACTGTATTGAATTGGATGAAAGAATAGAAACTAATAATACAATTAAAATAAACAAACCAGAACACTGCGTTTGTACAAATCTACTCAGGATCTGTAGTTTAAAACTGTATAATGTACCTAACAAAACGTGAAGAGGAAATAGAACTACAGAGAGAGAGAGAGAGAGAGAGAGAGAGAGAGAGAGAGAGAGAGAGAGAGAGAAGGAGAACTAAAGAGTTTAAGGGGTGGAGCTAAAACTTTCGACATTATTGAATGAGGTTTACCAGTAGAGGCTGCTTAATATGAAAAGTATTGCACTGATAACTCTCAACTCGGTTTCAAATATTGGCGTTTACAGGTAATTAAATTCCCACAAGTGATTTTCGTTAATGTTGCTCCTGTTAATGGTATTTAAAATTAGTTTAAGTCTTATCCACTTACAAGGGTGGTTTTGAAAATAACATTTTTGTGAAAGCTGAAATTTTAGTTACATCAAGCCCTAGCAAATATTTAAGATCGATATTAGAGAATTATTGGTCCGTTATTGAAGCAATCTTGGGTTAGCATTTTTGTTCTTATTATTGTTAATGTTCTGCACTTCTTACCCTTTGATGTTTAACTCCAAACACGATGTAATATGTTCTTGATTTAGGCCTATAAGTTTTAAAAGTAACACTATCTTAACACCCAAACTGTTATAAAACTTATAGTCTTAATGCTACAGTAAGTTATCTGTCCAAGATGAACATAAGGAAATATGCACTCACCGGTCAGTGTTGGAGGGCAGTGGGAGTCCGTCCAGTTTCCAGGTGATGTGAGGGGTGGGATTGCCAGAAGCGATGCACTTGAGGGAAACAGGAGGACCTGGTTGAAGGGTTTGCTGGATAAACTTGTATACCAGAGTGGGATGTGCGGCTGTAACAAAACCATTCTGTATCACTAACTGATGAAAACGAAAGAGATATAGGACGTCTACCATAGCAACAACTCACTCGTTGGTTTTGCTGTGACTATACTTAACTTAATTACTCTTTAGTAGTTGTTATAGAAAATTTAAACGATACGATGACATTATAGTAAAACGATGACTCAAAGATTATTAACGGTGAATGCTGAAAGGTAGGGACCGGTATATATTTCCAGGGGTCGGGGAATAATTGATTCACCTAGTTTATAATATAACTAAGATGCTTACATAGGCTAGTCAATATACAGTCAAAATAAGCATAACATCAAAATTAAGGTAATGGAAGTAAAACACATAGGATTTTGTCAACAAAGGTGTCCATAACATCATAAACATAATGTAGAAATGTATATGGTAGAGTTTTCGTTTGAATATATCTTCAAAATGAAAGAGGATATTTAAAAATAGATTTCAGAATTAAAATCAGCATGAAAATCTAGTTTATAATGATGTGTCACAACACTAGCAGTACATTATAAATATTTTATTTCTATCCAATATGGCGATCCAAGATGGCTGCCAAAAACGCGTTAACTATCGAAATGAAGTACTAACCACCGAATAAATTTTTTCTTCCCATTTTTGACTCTTAAAACATAAAATTTCTCAATTTCTTTCCAGACCATTTTGTAGAGCTTAAAAAATAAATAATTTTGTATATTGAAGCGTTGTGATATGCCTAACGGTTACGGAGATAATTGAAAAAAAACTTTAAATTTAAAATTCCTATGTTATTCTTAGGGAGAATAAATAAACTGTTGTAGTTTGCTTGTTTATGGATATATTTTGATAAAAATTTGGCAATTTTGTTTTTTTCATACTAAGCTATCAACATTTCAATAGAAAAACACATCTCAATACCTTCCCTGAAGATGGAAAATAGTGTGGACAAATTTGGCAAAGGGGTTAAGAGTCTTCTTTTGTCACGCTGTTGTTACAATGTAGAAGACTTTTTAAGAAATCAATGATTATTTTTGAGTTTGAGTTTGAGTTTGAGTTCCCTGTAGCAGCGAACCTAGGTACTCATTAAAATTCATGTTATTTAAATAGGAAATAAATCTGTCAATTTTCAGGGTATATTTTAGTAGAAATCCATCCAGGTAAACGGAAATTCGCTTAGTCTGCAGGTTTGCTGCGGTGGGGGTATTAATAAGTTTATGTCAGCTCAAACATTATTTTAAACGCATAAAGCTGTACCTTGGCAATGCGGTATAAAAACCTTAAAATATAGGAATTCAAAATGTAAAAATATCCTCGTTGTATTGAAATGAAAACTATTGCAAGGTTCTGTTTAACAAGCTAAAGGATGATTTAAAAAATATTTTCCGCTTCAACTCGTAACTCTAGAAAGTGTTTTCATTAGAGGAGAAGAGAAAGAGGAGCCGAGAGGAGAGAGAGGGAGAGGAGAGAGTGAGAAAGTAAGAGTGTAAGAGTGAGGGGGGGGGGGGTTTAAGGATGATCTGAGTTTCCACCAAGATAAATGAGGACAAACTGCAGTGCCAATTAAAGGAATGTATTGCTCCCCAGTTCATCTAGGTCGACTCGTCGTTTGGGCTCAACAGACAGATTCTTTCCTAGGCCTTTTGTCTTGCTTGGTTTCATTTTAATTCATTCAAGCTCACACGCTCTGCACATGGTGATTTTAGGTCCTAAAATGTTAATAAAGGATAGAGAGATGAAAAACCTCATAGAGATGGATTTAATGAAAAATGTGTAAATTGTAGAACTGAAAATAACAATAAGTTGTCATAACTCATTCCATTACATTAATTAAACACTTTAAAAATAGTTGTAATTATTTATGGTACGTAGTGTAATTTGTGTTTTTCTAACTCGTATATATTTGTCACTGTTGTTAGAAATCCCTATATTATAGTCAAATCATTTATATTTAGTATCCAGAAACAGAATGGTTTTTAGTACGTATAATTCTAACCAAGAGTTCACTTTATTTTCAATTTAATTTAGATTTAATAATACACCCGATTAAATCAAGTTTTTCTGCTTAAAACATCATTTACATATATATATATATATATACACACACTATAATAAGTCTTAAATTACATATATACAAATATCCTATACAGGGTGAGTTTTAATTGCCCCCCCCCACTTGTTTCTACATTTTTTCAAATATCAATCCCAGACCACTTCCAAACATTGTTGGGTAGTAAGTACAGTACTTCATTTTGACAAGGTGTTCATTTCCGGCTGCCATATTGGGTTCGCCATCTTGGATGCAAAATATTTTTTTCAAATGTAAAGGTGGGGTTGTGACCCATTATTTCGAACTAGATTTTACCCTGATTACATTGCCACAAACCGTTTTAAAAATCTTGATCCATTCTAAAGGGCTTTCACAAACTTTACTTTTAGCCCATTTTAACATTGTGCATTTACAAACTAAGGCCATAATCTCAAAATAGTGGTAGATAAAGATAAGTATACACCACCAGACATTGTCGACCTGTTTTCACTTGGTTATGACGGATGTAATTTTTTGGTCGCCATCTTGGATCCGCCATTGTGAAATGTGATAAATTATTTTAAATGTGAAAGTGTTGTGACCCATAATTTCGAAGTGCTTTTTAAAGCTGAACTCAATTCCTCGATCCTTTTTTTTTATATTTATATTTTAAAATATTGACATTTTAAACAACAAAATAAAATAATTTCATACAGAAAACTTTATAACAAAAATTGATTGCGGCATTGAGTTTAGCTTAAAAATGTAATTCGAAATGATGGGTCCCAACACCCCCTTCGTATTTAAAATAATTTATCACATTTCAAAATGGTGGATCCAAGATGGCGGCCAAAAAAATTACATCCGTCATAACTAAGTGAAAATATGTCGACAATGACTAGTGGTGTATAATTATCTTTATCTACCACTATTTTACGATTATGACCTTAGTTTGTAAATGCACAATGTTAAACTGGGCTAAAAATAAAGTTTTTAAAAGCCCTAATAACTTTGGAATGAATCAAGTTTTTTTTAACGGTTTGTAGCATTGTAATCAGGAAAAAAATCTTATTCGAAATGATGGGTCACAACCCCACCTTTACTTTTGAAAAAATAATTTGCATCCAATATGGCGAAACCAAGATGGTGGCCGGAAATTACGATGTTGTAAAAATGAAGTACTTACTACCCAACAATGTTTGGAAGCGGTCTGGGATTGATATTTGAAAAAATGTAGAAAAAAATTGGGGGGGGGGCAATTAAAACTCACCCTTTCAATGCACATATTATTTAGTGGGCCCTTGTGAAATATAGGAAAATAATATAGTGGTTTTGTTATTAAAATGTGCGGAGGAATAATAGCGAGTCACCACACATACATAACATTTTGTTATACATAAAATTATCAAGTCTAATTCAAATATTTTCTAGTGAATTATAAATTATTTCGTGATCTCGATGTTTTATTGGATTGAATGTGTTTTTATCTATTGTTTCAGATCCATTCAGATTTATTGTTATTGTAGTATTAAGTAGGCCTAATGAGAAGTACGCAGAATATAAATCCCTGACTAAATAAAATCACAATCACAATCGTCCTGAAAAGTGTTCGTTTACCATAAATAATGTAGCCTCTGTGTTTGGGAACCTTAGTGGAATTCTAAATAAGGCTTAGAATATACACTTTTGAGATAAGCTACTTATTATTGTTTTGCTGGATTTGTGTTTGTTTGCTGACTCGCGCCTAAGCTCCAATGCGAGTGTGTACTTTCTTCTGAGAAATTCCAAGAAAACAAAGCACTTCCTTTAACAAGCTGCATGTTTCATAGTCACGTCAGAACAAAATCAGCTCGTCGTGGGGAATTTACTTGAATAATAGAATCAAATTACGGATAACAAAGTGTTCTTCAAAGTTAGATTATTAATTATGAGCTATTAAAATAAAATGGTTGTAAAATCGTTTAGATATTTATTATAATCAAGTAGTTTATCCATTTTTTATTATGATTGGATTTTTTTATATTTAATATATGAACAAAAAATATATTATGCCTGAATGATGTTCTGCATGTACGTTAGCATACGTACATACAATACGTACTACTAAGTTGGACTTTTATAGGACAAATAAAGGATAATAATTATCACAAACAAGACATTGAATAAAAAAATATGTAACACTAATAAGATAAATCGTCTAAAGTGGTTTTTTTCCTAGGACGCTAGGCACGAGCCCAAAATTGTTTTTCACATTACTTCAGGCTAGACCTAGGGGTTACGGCATTATCACTTATATAAAATCCATTGGTTATTTGGTGAGATTTGAGCCTGGGACCCCATGAACCGGAGTCCCGCGCTCTAACCACTAGACCAGCTCGCTCCCCCAAATCGTCTACAGTAGTGGTTGCAAAAATGATGGGACACAGAGGTACATGCCCCTCGAACAGATGCAGTATACAAAAGAATGAAATGGAAGCGGGTTAACATTTAACGGTAATATTTGTTTGCTCTTTTACAATATTTAATCCATCGGTACATTGTATTAAAGTTTCTCTGGTAAAATCACGACTGAGCTTAACTTGAGATTCAAAATTTAAGATCACACGCCTCGTATAAGAAATACATTTCGAAGAGTTGTTAGTTTATCGTGTTTTAAACTATATTTAAGCCAACCTTAGTTTCTACTTACATCCCAAAACTAGCTGGACAGAAGCCTGAGCGCTATCAGCCTCTGCCCGTACAAGGCACTGGTACATGCCGGCATCATCCCGCTGTACCCGAGGGATGGGAAGCACAGGGTTCTGGGAGCTGTAGATGTGACCGACCACATGACCATCCTTGAGCCACACCCTCTGGAGCCCTGACGCCCCGGACCCCGAGGTCGCTTGACAGGTCAGGTTCACTGATGACCCGATGTCTGCCGTGAACTGCCCGGACGGCTGCAGGGTCACAGTGAGCGGCGATAACACCTGCAGACAGCAAGCACAGAATGAATTTATCTCAAAATCAGTCCGGAAGAATTGCTTCATTTCAACGGAATTTCATATTTGAATATTCGTTGAAGTAGACTTACCATTCCCACGTTAAACATGTAGCCAGTTTCAGATTGATAATGCACGTAGTTGAATTGAGTGCACCAATGTCAAATAAAGCATTTGAATGCGCTTTTCAACCAAGCCAAACAGGAAGGAAACCTCACAGTAAACTATAGAATCTTTGATTTTATATAATGAAAAACACTCCATTATAGAGTGGTACATTTATTTTGTATTAAATTGCAGACCTAAGCAGAATAAAAATATATAGTGCCGTATCAAGGAGAAGTCCGAAGACCACGATTTTATGGTTAAGGGGAAAATTTGATTATATTATATTTCAATAAACTTGATTTTATAAATAATTTCATGCATTGTTCAATCATATTAAATATTTACATTGTAGTAACTTGAATTGTAGTGTTTTACATAATGCTAAAACGAATGAAAAGACTCTTGACAAGGACGACGTATAAAATAAATATTGAAGAGGTTCCATATGCCTAACGCAATTCCTGTTCAAACTTTAAAAAATAATGAATTGCAAGACTTAAACCAATAGTTCAACCAACTAGGATTCAACTGTTAGCAGATTTGTGCTCCTCGCTGGCATCCAGTTACACGGGATGCAAATATTCATTCGAGGGATGACGCTAGAGAGCGCTAGACGTTACTCACATATGTCTTACACAGAATGTTAATTTATAGCTCACGCGATCGATTGTGTTTGAATCTCAGGAGTTGTTATGTCTTAGCCAGTTTAAAACCTAATGAAAGATGAATTAAATTGCAGACCATCAATGGAGGTTTAATTTTAAAATTGTTTAGCTTAAAACTTTAGTCTTCAAATAGTCTATTTTAGTCAAACTATAGCCAAGTAAAGTTATTTAGAAACATGTAAAACGCATACCTAAATGCGCCTACAAACTAAATTGAATAACTTTTCGAAATTTATATTTAACGAGATGTACATATTTTATAATAGATTTTGAATACGTTGAGGGAAATGAGTGTTAATGGGCTGTTTGATATTTATAGGCATATTTTAGAGTTTAAATTCATATGAATCTACAGGACAGTAACACATAATTTTGCAGAATAAGCAGAACACTGGTAAGTATAAATTACGTTATGCATTTGAAACACTTCTGATTTTCGAGGTGTGCGAAAGATGTAATCTCCTTAATAATTTACAAGTAAAGGCATATACGCTTTAAACAAATAAGAGCATACCAGTTGTTTTATATCCGCCACCCAGGGGTAGTGAGATGGAGGGGGGGGAGGCAATGCAGGTGAGTGTACCCGGGGGAACACAAACCGCTGTGTTGGAACAGACCATAACTTTAGCTTAGTTCTGCAGTTTAATACAAAAGATATGTACCTCCCCATTACGTGTTTGTTCTTTATCACTTTCTAACTTGTATAAACTTTGTAACTGGAAATACTTCCTCTTAACGTTACTGCCATACTTTCCGACATAACTTACACACTCACACTCGTTGTATAAAGATGCGGCTGGGACTCGTGTAAGTAAACAAATGAAGCGCATAAACAAGCGTAAAGCCACGGCTGTGAGTTATGGCGGGAGAGGTACGGGGAGCTGATAGTGACGGTATATACGTTAACTTGGCGTAGGATATAAATCTGGCGGGAACCCTGTAAAAACAAACTCATCACGACGATCTTCAGGGTGTAAACTTTATAAGTTATGAAGACGAATTCAAATTTCTCCGTTTATTACTAAGTACGGCAGTAAAGAAAGAGTGAAATACCCTTCATATAACTCCCTTGCTTCTCTGGGGAATTTTATAAACAAATGGTAGACTGTTCTTCTCAGTTTTACTCCTCTTTGTTAAACCCATTTAAATGTACATTCAGTGCTTTGTCTCTTGTGAGCTATTTGGATCTTCTTTGCAACAATATTTTCCACTTCTGGATTTTCTTAACAATGGAAGGCTCATAACGATTGTTTGACTTTGAACAAAGACTAATTAAGCCAGTTCCACAGAAAATGTGTTTAAGAAAATGTTCTGTAACCTTAAATCTAGTTATACAATTACCATGGTGCAACTAAAATCAAAAATAGTATTTACTAAAGAACACAATGGTTTTGTACAAATTTTTCATAGCTCTATTAGATCTACGTGGTAATCCATCATCACTAAGATAAAAACTTCTCATAAATATTTTAATAAAAACTAATGGTTAAAATTATTCTTTGAGTATTAGTGCATTCCAATTATGTTATGCAACACAGTTATATTAATTTATATTAGATCTGACTTATATACACTGTTGGCAAGCGTAAAAAAGGGTAAAACTTGGTTTATTATGTAGAAGCTTTCATTTATCATAATCATCAACATTTAACACAAGACATAACAATGTAAAATCATAAAACGACAACATTGTCATGTCTGTGAAGAGAATCTGCTATCCAAATCTTTACATATTTCTATAGACACAATTTTATCGTTTTCGCGTTTAGGTTCAAGGTGTAGGTCGTTTAGATTTAGGTAGTACTTATGCATTGACTATATTGGATACTGAAGTAAACCATCTACAGGGACCAGCTGTCACCAGTTTATTTCTAAAAAAAGAATAAAGTTCTGTGAGCCAGTTACAGAATGCGCAAGTGGCTAAAATTATATTTTCTACCTTATTTTGGTTGAAGATATAGTTGATGGGTCATTGCAGTTGACACAACTTACAATAAATCGTGTCATTGGGTTGACTTGGTAAAAATGTTCATGTATTCGACAGAAATCACTAATTTACATCCACTACGACGATCTTGATTTTTAAAAATGGCAACAATTTTAAAACGGGGATGCATTGCTTAGTTTTATCAATAGTCAAAGATAGCAGATAAAACAAACAGTCTGACAAGTTCCATAAGATTTAAATTTATAGTGGAAATGCTAGTTATTGGTTCATCAGAAACGTATATACTAAAAATGTAATACAGTAAATTGGATTCTAAAAACTATAGGATGTGTGTGGGTAGCTTAAAATCTATAATTGTTTAAAGAGCCAATATTTTCAATGAGCTGGTTTCAGACTACAGTACCTTCAAGGTGATATCGATGTGTTCCATCCCAACTGAGTTGTTGGCGACACACACCCAAGTTCCTCCGTCGGCTTCGTCAGCGTGAAGCAGGACCAGACACTCTCCGACCCGGAACATCCTGTCGTCCTCTACCACCTGACGTCGCAGTTGACCTTCCTGACGGTACCACCTGCAACAACAAGTGATGAGAATCTGCAAAGAGACCAAGAGACTGTACTTCGACCCGGAAAATCCTGTCGTCACTTGCAACAACAAGTGATGAGAATCTGCCCAGAGACCTGAGAGACTTTACTTCGACCCGGAACATCCTGTCGTCCTCTACCACCTGACGTCGCTGTTGACCTTCCTGACGGTACCACCTGCAACAACAAGTGATGAGAATCTGCCAAGAGACCCGAGAGACTTTACTTCGACCCGGAACATCCTGTCGTCCTCTACCACCTGACGTCGCAGTTGACCTTCCTGACGGTACCACCTGCAAAAACAAGTGATGAGAATCTGCAAAGAGACCAAGAGACTTTACTTCGACCCGGAACATCCTGTCGTCCTCTACCACCTGACGTCGCAGTTGACCTTCCTGACGGTACCACCTGCAACAACAAGTGATGAGAATCTGCAAAGAGACCAAGAGACTTTACTTCGACCCGGAACATCCTGTCGTCCTCTACCACCTGACGTCGCTGTTGACCTTCCTGACGGTTCCACCTGCAACAACAAGTGATGAGAATCTGCCAAGAGACCGAGAGACTTTACTTCGACCCGGAACATCCTGTCCTCTACCACCTGACGTCGCTGTTGACCTTCCTGACGGTACCACCTGCAACAACAAGTGATGAAAATCTGCCAAGAGACCGAGAGACTTTACTTCGACCCGGAACATCCTGTCCTCTACCACCTGACGTCGCTGTTGACCTTCCTGACGGTACCACCTGCAACAACAAGTGATGAAAATCTGCCAAGAGACCAAGAGACTTTACTCCGACACAGATCATCCTGTCGTCCTCTACCACCTGTCGTCCTGTAACACGTGACTTCGATCTTGACCTTCCTGACGGTACCACCTGCAACAAGTGATGAGAATCTGCCAAGAGACCGAGACATCATCCGACCGAGGAACATCCGTCCTCTAACACCTGACTTCTCTGTTGACTATCTTGACGGTACCACCTTTAACATCAAGTGATGAGAATCATTTAAGTTACTGTAGATGGGCTCAATGAGCTGCAAGTTCTCAGGAGCTTGCAATTCTCTTCTAGAACTTCCTTTTGATACATTTACAAATCGAACTAGTATTCAGTTAATGTGATCAATAAGGAATGCCACTCTCCAACCTAGCCTTTAAAAGAAATCAGGTCTTTTGCGGCAACACCTTATATAATAACAAATCTGATTAGTTAAATATGTATGGTTTTTTACAATTTAAAATTCAATAAATACTCATACTTCAATTAAAGTTAGAATGTTGGGAGAAAATTTGTGGTAAAAGGAATGGAAATAAGAAAGGGCCTATCCGTCAATTCGTACGATTAGGAAAAAATATTTAAGTACAGTATATTGATTCTTCTAACCAAATCGTCAGCTGATCTATACAAATTTATACAGCTGATATATTAAAACCTAAAGTAGTTGCTCAAGACTTCATTGTCCTGTACTGTAATAATACCTTTATTTTAGTTACTCCAATTATTCTCTTTATCAAAGCACAACATGAAAAATAACAACTGAGCTACAGAAACAATACTGATATTTTGCTATTTATTCAAAACAGGTCTAGCTAACAATTAAAACAGTTCCTTGAAAAGTAGTCCAAAACAATAAAGGGGTTTCTATGATGAAATATGAAACGGAGTGTACAAGGGCAGGTTTCACTATTAGCATCAATGAAAACTTCTACCATTTTCAAAATTGATATACGTGAAAGACTAGGTTATTTCTATATGATGATTGATAGCTCTCCAAAACGACAGGCTGCATAAGCTGCAATGATCGTATATTGTTTCTATACAGCTCTGATGATATTACATCTTTAGAATTATGGTTCTAGAGTAACTTTGATTTGCTTCAATCACACCTTAAATCTTTTGGTTTTCTTTAGCATTGTTTGAGACTAATTACGAACAAGGCTCTTTATTATTTGTAGCAACCTGCTTGTATGGACAGGGTTTGAAAAAGACCATCGAGAAGATTCGCGTCAATTTAATCTTTCAAATTAGTATATTCATGGCACAGTTTATAGTAGCTTTGCAAAAACATTATGTATACAAAATTATAGTCTTTTCAAGCCTGTTAAAAAAATGCTAATTAAGGTATGAAAATTCCTTGAAACAGGAATACACGTTTAATATCACTATTTTTGATATTTCTATTTAGTAAACTGATGTAAGAAGAGATTATTCTAAAAGTAACGTTTAAGCCAAAGATAAATACCAATACACCGGATTTTAACTATTCTCGTCTATAAATGGCAAAAACCTATGAATTCTTAAAAGAGTTGCACAGTAATAAATTATGATTTCTTATTCAGAAGAATTTGCAATACGTATTTATAGCAGTTAATTAAAAGGTTGTATTAAAATGAAGAACAACTTTGCATATTTTTGAAATTTGAAACCTACACATTTTTCATTTAACAGTTTCTAATCCAAATTTTACGTAACTAATTTAAATCATACGAAATAAATGAGCTCATCAAACTAGGCTTCTCAGAAACCGGAACTCTGGAGTGATTCAAATGCAATTTTGGAGCTGCATGTAATCATTTTTCTGATAATGTGCGGAGATATTAAAATTGCAATAAGGAAATGTAGAATAAAAACTGACGATTGCACACCAAAGTATAAAATTCCCTTTAGACTGAGCTTTGTTACGACTATTGTATGTGTTGCATTATTGTACATTATTGTTATTCGTATTGTATATTACTGTTTATTCAATTCAGTGAAACATATTAAAGCATGTCCGGGCGGGAGAGTGGTCTCAACTAAATCTTCGCATAAGCACTCTAAAATTTAATTAAACACACTTGAGCATACAAAAGACAAGATTCCCCAAACAAGTGAATATTAATTGAAATGTTGGAGTGAATAAATGTATAAATGTACAATAGAGACTTAATCTGGAAACATTGTTAGAATGCTTACCTGGTTTGTGCTAACAATCATAATGAATACGATGATAAATAGTCTTCCAACGATGTTTGAAATATATATACTACTTATATACATATATACCTACACTGTAGCCTATACATAGACGAGGAAAGGTGAGGGTACAATCAGACCCAATTGGAGATAATGATCAGCAGGATCGTTCAAAATCGATTACTATAATAACAAATATCTTAATATACAGGGTGAGTTTTAAATGAGTTCCCCCCGTACTTTTTTCTACATTTCTTAAGATAGCAACTCCAGACCACGTCAGATCATTGTAGAGTAGTAAGTACTTCATTTTGACTGGGTAAAAATTTTTGGCCGCCATCTTGGATCCGCAAAATTGGAATCAACGTTATTTTTTCAAATGTAAAGGTAGAGTTGTGACCCATCATTTCAAACTAGAATTGTACGTTGATTACAATGTCACAATTCAAAAAATCTTGATCCATTCTTAAGTTATGGGAACTTTTTATAATTTGATTTTTAGCCCATTTTAAAATTGTGCATTTACAAACTAAGACCAAAATCTCAAAATAGTGCTAGATAAAGATAAGTATACACCACCAATCATTGTCAACCCATTTTCACTTGGTTATGACGGATGTATTTTTTCGGCCGCCATATTGGATCCGCCATTTTGAAATGTGATAAATTATTTTAAATATGAAGGTGGTGTTGTGACCCATCATTTTGAATTAACTTTTTATGCTAAACTCAATGCCGCAATCCGTTTTTCATTTTCATATTTAGTTTTTGAAATATTTACATTTTAAATAAAATAATTGCAACATTTCCTCAAGAAAGCTTGATAACAAAAAACGGATTGCGGCATTGAGTTCAGCATACAAAATTAGTTCAAAATGATGGGTCACAACACCAATATAACAAAATAGTTTATCACATTTCAAAATGGCAGATCCAAGAATGGTGGTATATAGTTATCTTTATCTAGCACTATTTTGAGATTATGGTCTTAGTTTGTAAATACACAATGTTAAAATGGGCTAAAAATAAAGTTACAAAACGTTTTCATAACTTTAGAATGGATCACATTTTTTAAACGGATTGCAGCATCGTATTCAGCGTAAGAATCTAGTTTGAAACGATGTGCAACCCTACCTTTAATTTTGAAAAAATAACTTTGTATCCAATATGGCGGATCCAAGATGGCGGCCAAAAAATTATACCCAGTAAAAATGAAGTATTTACTACTCTACAATGATCTGACGTGGGCCGGAGTTGATATCTTAAGAAATATAGAAATACCCCCGCCGCAGCAAACCTGCCGACTAAGCGAATTTCCATTTGTCTGAATTGATTTTCAGTTAAATATATTTTAATAACATTAGGTTTAACGAGTACCTAGGTTTGCTGCTACAAGGAAACTAATAAAGTGTGTTTTTGAGTAAAATATTGATAGCTTAGTACAAAATAAATAAATTTGCCAAGTTTGATCAAAATATATCCACAAACAAGCAAACTACAACATTTGACAATATTTTCCATAAGAATAACATGGGAATTTTAAATTTACAATTTTTTTAATTTTCTCCGTTACTAATAATCGAACAAAAATACTTTTATATACTAAATTATTTGTTTTTTTAAGCTCTTTAATAAGGTCTAAAGAGAAATCGGGAAATTTTGTGTTTTGAGGGTCAAAAGTGAGAAAAACCAATTTTTACCCCATAAAACCCCCCGTAAAGCCCCGTTCCCATGGTCCGATCGTGCTGGTTCGCGAACTCATTCAAGTTTATCCCGCTTTACACCTCTAAACCAAATTTCATCAAAATCGGACAAAAATTACTCAAGTTGTCGCGTTCACGGACGTATATATATATATATATATATATATATATATATACATATATAAAAATTTGAACGAATGGTGTTTTTGGCCTCTGGGGACATCAAAATGAAAAAGTAAATCAGTCCCGGGTCTAGGTCTTACCGTGCCACCTACGGTAATAGCTACTTCCCTATAGGGAAATTCGCTAAAAAGTAAGGAGAGAACTCATTTAAAACTCATCCTGTATATTTTCCCGCCTTATAATGTTTATAGTATGAATGTAGATACATCCAATATTGTTCGAAGACAATACAAGAATTTTAGTAGAACAAGCTAAATTCTAATCAAAGAGTTGTAAAACTAATGATTTTTAAATATTAAATTTAATTCCGCTGGTAGACATACTAATGATTAGAAGATTATATCGGCTAGGAAGCCTAGAGTCAATAATGGGTTACGGGTAAGCCGAACATCCGAAAATCTGCTAAATGCCATTACTTGGCCGTTACCATTAGCGGGTGTTCGTAACACCTTGCCGCTGACTCTATAATACCTCGGATTTAGACCATTAACTTACATCGAGAGGAATAATTTAGCATACTTTTATTGAATCTAAAGCTTTTAACAAGTTTGATGCTGGAAGCTTTAATGGATAGTAAGTATCTTTTAACCCACATAGAGCCAACATTGTGATTAGAGGTGGTATTTAGATATTGAACGTAAACATAGTAAGTTTGTTAATGGTTGGATATAATGATGAACAGTGTGCTTATGGTTTTTAGATAAAATATGAGTACATAACAGTTTTTCTCACGTTTGATACCCGTCATTTTTCTTTTTTGAATAAGAGGAAAATAAAGCTTAAGGTGGCAGTGAATCTCTTAGACTACTACACGAATGACGCAGATGTTCGGAGGGATTTGAACTGGGGTCTCTCCAGAAACTCTGTGCTAAAACAACAGGGCTAGCCTTTTTGACATATCCTGATCGTATTTCCATGTCCCATCTTTCTAAAATATCGCACTTATTAGATAGTTCTCATACAGACCGACTGGTTTGAAAGACTTTTTGGTATTCATTTGTGGAATTATTTATACTACAATAGAAGTTTATGCGCATTTTTTAATAGGAAGGAGCTAAAATATTTCAAAAATAAATTTTTGTATTATAACTACTTAAATTTTTTACTTCTAATTTATATTCACTAAAAAAGTTCATTATTGCAGTGTTTGCAGTCTAATATGTATACAGAACTTGTATGGGGGGGTTTCTTAATGCAATTAAATCTTTTAAGGCTCATCACAAGAAAGGATGTTTTTGTAAATTGAGGATATGCCAAGGCTTCAGAAGTAGCAAGCCAACATTTACAAATGTTGTAAAATCATAATGAATTCTAGCAAAATGACAAGGTTAATATTATACTATGTAATAATAACTCGTATTAGTCATAAAATGAGTTTTACCATACGGATATTTTTTTGTCTAACCGGTTAGCTAAAATTAAGTGTTATAAGGAAACTGTCGAAGAACAACTTTTAGCCAATAATGATACTAATGAAAATCACATTTATTCCAGTGAATAAAATATAATTTAAACTTTCCTCAGATAATTGGAATCACTGTCTGATAGCAAACATGTTGCTATTGAATTATCAACGATTTTCCTAATTTGTGTTTAACAAATATACAAGGTAGAATGAAGTTAGTGTTAAAAAATTGTATGTGTTAAACTACTTAGTATTGGTGACAAAATGGCAATAATTTAGATTCTCATACACTCACAGGTAGGTAGGGAATAGTAGACAAATTAATATTTTTTTCAAAATCTTTACATAAAATGACTATAAGTGAACTGAAATTTGTTTTTATTTAGAATGTAATGCCATTTTCAGAAACCTCATAAAATTTCCAATGATAATAGTACAGTCTCATTGAGATGAAGCATCTGTATTTAAGCCTTCATTCTGCAACAGAAGTTTAAATTTGTGATTTTTGAGAAAAATGCGGAGACTTTTACATATGGCCATTTAATGTAAGAAAATACAAATATTTTGAAAAAATCTTAATTTGTCTGTTATTTCCTACCTGTGAGGATATGGAAATCTAAATTAGTCCCATTTCGTCACAAATACTAAGTAGTTTAGCACACAAAAATTGTTGACACTAACTTCGTTCCAAATTGGACACCAGAAGTTAAATAAAAAAAAAAAACAGTTACAGTGATTAAAATATGCGAATTTTATGATATTCGAAACATTTAATTATTTAATGGAAAATAAGATTGATTGTTCTAAATCATCTGACAATTTTCGTCAGATAGGTATATAAACGTTTTTTAATGTCCCACCTTCACATCCTAGGAACGGGTTCTAGCCCGTTTAAACACATTACTTTAGGCTATTCCTAGAGAGTTGTGGCATTATCACAGAGAAAATCCATTGGGGATGGACAGGATTTGAACCTCGAGACCTCAGGCACTTGAGCCCCGTACTCTAACCACTAGACCAGCTCGCTCTCCAACAAATAGGTATACAACGATTCTTTGTGTACCTTAGCTATACTGTACAAGTTATAATATTATGATCACAGCATAATCATACTTATGTATTCACTTTTTCTACATGAAAATTGACTATTAGTTTAAGATCTTATAGATTTAAAGCTATCTGACAACAAAACGTATTTCAAATATCTTAATCATATTCTCTTTTATATTTGTAAAAAACACAAATACTATAAACTTAGGTCAGGTCTTAGTAATATTAATCTCAGATACGAATTACGCCTTAAAAACATGATTGTAAAACGTATAAATGTACATTATTCCTTATCATTATTATGATTCTCTTTTATATTTGTAAAAAAACATTAATACTATAAACGTAGGTCAGGTCTTAGTAATATTAATCTTTGATACGAATTACGCTAGAAAAACACGATTGTAAAATGTATAAATATACATTATTCCTAATCATTATTATGCAATTACTGTACCAACTAATTTAAAAAAACTATCTAAGATGCCACCAAATAAATTAATAAAACAATTTTATCTTTAATTTTAGACCCTAACCAGAACGGTTAATATGTTACTAAACTCTATGTTTCCAAATAATAATATGATAAGTCTTAAGTACAAATACGAGAAGATAGTACTGTAATCATGACAGTACCTGAACGATGGCGGTGGATTCCCTTCGGCGTAGCAGGGCATCACTACTGAGTGGTCTTTCTTGACTGAAATTGTTACGGTTTTATCCAAGGCTCTTGGGGCAGACATCGTAGGGTGATCTGAAACAATATCGGATAAAAAATGAAAGGATATCTCATAAAATATCACGTGAAATATATCAGGTAATTCAGTTTTGTTTGTCTATTCGTTTATACAAAGATCAGATGAATACTTTGAGCAATATACTCCTTTAGCTATACGTTATTAATTTATATCAACACCAAAGGCGTTTACCTAGTTATGAACATAATGTCATCTCTGAAGATAAACGTTCTGAGAAACAAGAATTCGGCAGTCTAATCATGACTCATGTTTTACAGATTAAAAAAGGCAAGTGGAGAATAAGAAGCAATAATACTTTGAAATCATATAGCGAAAATAATCTATGATCACCACAGTAACGTATGACAGGTCAAAGGAAAAACAATAAAAATTATCTTGGTGAGACTATATTTCGCCTAACATAAGCGAGGGGTGATTTGTAATGGTAAGCTTATAGAAGAGTTAGGAGTGCAGGACCGAGTGCCGATTGGCTAAACACTTTGACGAGGGTCATTTTACAGCCTGAGGTTTGGCGGGGCGAGTGCTGGCCGGAGCACCGGGCTCTTTTCAGGCGTCTGTTTGGGCTCTTTTCCTATGCGCCCGTGCCGGCCAGATATCAGTGACCGGTTTCACGGTGCGGCGGGAATGAGGGTGGAAAGATCGACCAGGGGGGATGTGCAAAATTTGTTTTAGGGATAAAATTAAACTATTAAAACCTAACCTATCCTAACACAACCTAACCAAACTTGCTGGTTATGAAACAATTTAATGAAGGTTTACTAATCGAAACGATATAAATTTTCAATGGATATTAGGTTAGCACAGTTAAGAAGTCCAAGTCCAAGTCTATATGACTGTCGCAACTTGCGCCACGTCTCGTGAAGCTCCTGCTCGCTAGGAGCATATACTTCTGGTCTGCTGTGGGTCCAAGCCCTGGTAGCTCAGCTACCTGTAGACGCCAACGTCGTTATGCGGGTTAGTCGTCGATCCGGGGGCGGAGCTGGGGAACACCTCAGCAACCAGGTCCCTGATGTGTTCCCACGGAGAAACATCCGCCGTCTCTTCAAGTCTTGCTCGAAGGCCGTCGACGAAGTCTCGGAGAGTCGTGATGGCTGCGGAGTCCCTGATTACGGAGTTCCTCACGTACGAGGGTGAATCTGTCGCCTGTCGAAGAGCCTTACTCTGGACGACGAGCAGCCTCCGTCTAGCGGTTCTGCAGGTGAGGTGGTACCTTGCAGGGGCTGCGTACGTGAGGAAAGGCCGTAGCAGGGCCGTGTAGAGACGAACTCTTGCAGCCGTCGACAACTTCCTTGACCGCAGCAGCGGGCGGATGGCGCCAAGAGCCTTCCTGGCGAGGTCGCCCTCTCGACGTGGGGAGTCAGGGTGAGTCGCTGATCCAGCAGGACGCCGAGGTACTTCACCCGGCGCTTCCATGGGATGTTGGCCCCGTCTAGGTGGAGGTGTTGACCATCTCCGTTACATCCTGCCCACTACATCCCTTCCTCTAATACCCCTCCCCTGAATCACTCTTACGCTCTGGGGAGTCAAACGGCACTCGGACCTATCTGTCGCTTTTGACAGTTTATAATACCCACGACAAAGAATAGAACGGCAATTGCTCCGTTTCCCACGAGTGAGTAGTTAGGATGAAAGAAAGGAAGGCGCGAAGAGGAACCAAGAAGATTGTTTAGAAGATTGGGATGAGTAATCTAGTTGTGGATGCGTCTCTGACCACTGCTGAAGAGGGCCCCGAGCTACGGCATAACACATCTTTCTTTCTATCTATTTTTATAGTTTTAACATAGGTTTAAAATTACACTAAAGTAAAATATTTTATACTGTACCAAAGTTTTTGCAAGGGAAAGCCTCTAACACCTTAAAATAATTAAGATTATGCCAGAAATTAAACCCCCTTTCTTTCACACTGAAGTTTGGTCTCCTAATAAAAGCTAGCAATAAACTATTTTACTAAATTTCAAGATAGTAACTTGACCAGCAAGGATATTTTAACTGAATTAGCTTTGGAGATTTTGTTCTGATCGTATTGTAAGGATGGAATCGTTTTTCTTCTCTCAGGACACCATATATCGAATCAATGAAGTAAATTAGTTATGTTACCACGATTAAACATTTTTAACCGTCTCTTAATGTCTTGGTGAAAAGGCAAATAAATATAGATCTTATATAGTATAATAACATCTGAATTCCTTAGCAAAAAAACAAAAAGCTTGCCTCATTATAAAACTGTTTACATTTTCTAATAACACGAAAAGCATACATTTTTACAGCTTGGTTCAGTTTTTAAATTTGTGATTGCTATCTGTAAACAACTAAACAATTAAAAGGACTGCATTTTGCTTTACCCACGGTGTGATCATATATTACTGAGGTGGATTAAGATAGGAAAAGGGCTGGTAACGTTACAAATCCCTTTAATTTAAGTAAGGTCACAACGTGGGTAAACTCAGGTAAATTCTGCAGTGCTACTGTGTGTTGCTCCTTTACTAATAGCAGAAATTGTCGTGAACCTGTACTCTAAATAGAGTTACAGTTTGTTTCATAATTAGCAGTAAACCTCTTAATGCTAAATATATATTTACATTATTTTCACAAAATAAATACTGCGATTTAAACCTGCGAGGAAAAGAAACCTTCTAAATTAAATTTAAATTATATTTTATAAATTTAAATTATAATTTAAAACCTGCTTTAAACCATCTTTTAGGTTTTTGGAAGGGATAACCAGTTCAAACATATTCAGAACACCTTGGACATTAGTTGGAATACTAAGTTAACCCTTATATTTAACCATAGATTTAACTACGTCCCACCTTCACATCTTAGGTCGCTAGTTCAAGCCCGGAACTGGTTTACTGATTAATTCAGACCAGTCTTAGAGGGTTGTGGCATAATCACGTAGATAAAATCCATTGGTGATTGGCAGTTTTTGAGCCCGGGACCTCGAGCTCCGACGCCCCGAGCTCTACTACTAGACCATCCTGCTCTCCACATTTAACTACGATAAAGTATTTAACATAAAAGAACCAACCTGATAAAAATAAAAAATAAAACTAAAAACATGTGATTTCACGTTAGCTTATAATATTTTAACTACGACCTTTTTTAAACTAGCCTTTTCAGTACAGTTCTTGGAATTGAAAATATTTTTTTACAGCATTGTTTACTTACTCTAAAGCAATGTTTTTTTTTTGTTTTTTTTTACTTTACAACACTAGTAACGGACCAATGAGGTTCAAGGATTAAGAGAAAATAAGTAAAATTGTAATGCTGCACACGTAAACTTATCAGCTGTTAAGACCAATTTAATTCTTAATAAATGGTACAATGAGTCGTTGCATCACTGTCAGTAGTATGTTTTCTGTGCTGTCAGTGGCAATGAGAGGTTATAAACGAAAACATAACCTCTCTTAGAAGTCAGGAGTAGTGATTGTCAGTAATTGAAAAACGGTCGTAAGTAAAGTAGTGTACGCAATTTGCGTAAATAGTCATTACACGATCGACATGTAAAAATTAACGCACGTACTTTCCGTATAAGAATATATTATTTGTTAAATATCAACTTGATATTCAATTAAAAGATTTCTACGTTCATTTTGTAACAGATTTAAAAGATATTTCGGTACCAGAGTGAGAAATAAACTGGTTAATGGGGAAAATACCTCTGAAATCTTGGATATTAGAAATACTTCAACTTTTGATAAATCTTATTATTAAACATAATAATAGTGTAGTGTATCCTTCTGAGTGGGACAAGTTTTTGCCTCAAAATCTACTCTTTCGCTGGTATATCATTAATAGGAAGGTTATATCATTGACTAAGGAACCATTATCTGTGGTATTATGTACTTTTAATAATTCATAAATGAACAGTGGTGAAATGTCCTTAATTACTAGTTTATGGCTTAAGAAAATAAATTTATTAGTGATAAATTGTATGTACATAATATGTAATGTAAACATAACATGTATCCTTCTTGAGACACCATTTTTATACCCAAACACTATTTTAGTTAGTGTACGGTTATATAAATATCGGTATGAAATAAAAGTTAAGAATGCGTGCTGTTTCCATTGGTATTGTTTGCGAATAATACTGTTGAATGGAATTTGCAATAACATTTGTGAATATTATTAAATTTAACTACGATGTGAAACTTGTTAAACTTTACTAGACGTACTTGTTATGCTGGTTAGCGAATGGTAAACATTACAATAAATGATATTATAGGTCTGGAGAATTGGTTTGTATTTTGTGTTCGTTCTAAGTAATCTGTGAGTAGATAATTATTTTGGACTGACGTTATTTGGCCACTATGCCAACACGGAAGACTATATAAAGCCAACTGTATACTGTATTATATTTAACCAATAAAGCACGGGCTATCTATCTATCAATGGAAAACTACTCGAAAACAGGGCCGAGTAATTGCATGAATTTACTAGGAAATCTTGATAGCTATGTGGGTGTCCTGGTAAAAAATTAATTAAATTTCCAAGAAAATTATGATTTCAAAGATGACTAAAATAGATAAAGTTTCCACTTGCAATTTACTACTAAACTTATGCTGCACGACATACTAATACTAGTCTGCATAAAATTGTTACACAGCATATTTTGGCGATTCACAACTACAAAATGTTCAATTTAACATTCTAACTCAGATCGGAAGATTTGAGGCTGACTGTAACGAGTATAGTTAGAAAAGTAAACGACTTCTTTGGTTGAAGTTTCCAATCAATTTCACCAATGGGGTTGGAAATAAAGGAAGCGAATGATGGTTCTTTTCATGGAATCCAGACTGCTATTAGTCATTGAAGCGGTATTGTACTTTTGTATACAAGTGCTTCGCCTCACAACCCACTTATAGATGTTGCTTATAGCTCATTACCCTGGGTTTGAACTTCGCTTCAGACTGTTTGTAATTGCTTCTGAAACCATAACAGTTTTGTGACGATAAAATATACACATAATATAATAATGGTAAAAGAATACATGTTGATAGGATTTTCTGTTGAAATAACAAATCTTCAGGATCGAGTTTCTTTTATAAAAAGTTACATTTTCATAGTTGTGCAGTACAAAAATGTTAAAACACCCGTCTGATATTGAAGGCTTTTTATGTAAGACATATTGTTTTGAATTTAATACTATTAGAAGATATTATGGCAGGGTCTAAAACAAGCGTGTTATACTTTTAGGCATCTAATATTGCTTATATCTATTTTTCTGTATCTGCATCATTGGTATTTTTTTTTTTTGGAAAAGTGGTCAAACCTCAAAATGAGCAGCTAAGTCTGAGACGCCAAACTCCTTATCATGAACATATAACTGAAAAATAACTTTTCAATTCCTTTTGTTCACAAATCAATTAAACAAGTATTATCCTTTAGTTATGGTTCAGTTGGATTAGTGGAAATTGCAGCATGCCACTCGAACATGTACCATTTGCTTTACAAATAGTTTGTTTCAATAGTTAACTTCCAACCATGACCGGAAAGACGGATGAGATATTCAGATGTTAATTATACGGGACTTTTAGTCCGTTGCATTTTTAAGGGGATGCCATCTTATTAGTGTTGCAGTGCGGTGACTGCGGCTACGAACTGTGGGTTAGATGTTAAATATTCCGTGTGCATCTGTTTGACAGCGTGTTTAGCATGTGCAGAGGGGATAGGCCAGTTGCTTATCTTTTGATACGAGAGGGTGGCTTTGTCCTGTTATCAGTTCAAGCCTCAGAGGTGCTCTACCCACTAGGGACACTATTCAACCTACACCATATCACAGATTAAAATCTCCCACTATCACCCTCACAATACTCGTTTCTTCATCTTTGTACTGACTGGGAAGTGGGTCTAGTCATTGTTTTGACGTAAAGGGGGAAAGTCAAGAGTGTATTTGAGCTAAAGAGGGTTGTAAAACATATCACTAGTACAAGTTAATATAGCCTAACAGTGTAAACTTTAATTTTTAAGAAGAAAATTATCTTCTAGGGTTATTACAGTTATTACAGATGCTGCTTGTTTTGTAAACACTATATTGGTAAGTTATAGTTGATGGTAAGGTATTAGAAATTTAATTCAACTGTTAGCATAAGGTATTGCGAAAAAACTAGAAACTATCCTGATACACAATAGGCATAAATAATTAAATGACCGACTGGGATAATTTTTTCGAAGTTACTCGCTTACAAAAATTACTTCTCCATTATCTTAAATTATAATATAAAAATTACTCTTAAATAACAATGATAACCCTTTTAATAGTAACCATAACTATAACTCTTAATAGTTCCATACAATACTTCATAATACAATAATTCATTGAACCAAAACTGTGTGACAGGCGCTTGACAAAAACTTATAATTTGTTAGATTTGTATTGTGTACACTTTTTATTTCCTTATATTGCATACTTGATCTAGGATAAGGTTTTGCCTATCCACAATAACTGTATTAATCCATCTGCCACAAATGACATCAAATTTGCCAATGTATAAATATTTATATCCTCAATAGAGAGTGGGCTCAAGGCATATATTTGATATTCAGCTAGCTTGTATTTAAGTATTGTTTTGTTTAAACACATAAAATAGTTTAATTTTAATTACGAGTGCGTTTTATTATATCCTGCTTAATTCAATATTTTGGCAAATAGTTTAAAATCGCTCCTGATAATGTTATATTTTTATCACAACACTAACCCCAAGCAAAAGCTTAATCAGATTGTTAAAATATTTGTGATAATTGTAATATCAATAGCTAATCATAGCATAAAGTAAAATAGTACATAAGACTTTACAATGTATGTAAAAATTACCAGAACTATACAACCTATAGAATAATTAATTTCCTTTGTTTTCATATCCTGAAATATGAATTAAAATCATTTTGTTGAATATTATTCAATGGATATCTGTGATCATGTAATTTATGCCCAGTGCGTACATTTTAATGTATTACTTGTGTCGAAGGGCCCTTTGTAGACCTTTGAGCTCACGTTGACGTTACCGCAGACTTAAGTACCTTCTGGTTTCTGTGCTTCGGTCTCTTCTATATATACATGTTATTAAATTATATTAATTGCCACCACTTCACTGGCTCCTTAATTTACATTCACTATCCCATTGATGTTTTTTTGTGTATGCACAACATTAACTTCTGCAGTTGGCAGGTTTGTTTACATTGATGCCTGCCAAAATGCAAATTCCTAAGTCAGTGCAATGCAAACGCTGTACAGGTTTTAAAAGAAGGCAAAGTGGTTTTGATTGTTTTTAACCCGTTGGAAAATAAAAGTAATTATAGAAAAAAGAATAAATGAATGAATGAAATATATGTGTATTTCCACATAATATATACAGAAAAGAAACATACTTTTGAATACAAAAAATTATAAGGTTCCTCCGCAATACAAACTAGAATAGCCCCGGTGAAGCTGAGGGGTAGATATGGCTAATAATACATTATTTTTTTACTTCAACAGTGATGAACATTACAACAGGTTAGTGATTAATGTTTGAATGTTTTATGTGATTATTTCTAGAGATAACATTATGTATTAAGATTCTTCATATGTATTAAATGTTAAACGTTGCAGACATTTCTGATTAAATAAATTCGGGAACCCTACACACATTTTAGATTACATTGTACTTCAAAATAAGAGTTAATTAGTAAATAGTATGAAACTGGAGAGGAGGGATTAACTAAGAGGACCAAGTTTATTTATATGCAGTTAGTGTTACAATAGTTTAATTGTGTTCATGTTAAATCTTTTATAAATCCTGTGTTTTCGAGAGGTACCGGTACATTGCAACTAAAAAGTGAATCTTTTCTCGAGCTGTGTAGAGCATCTAATGGAGCACGATAAAGTTTACTAGGATAAAACTAAAACTCTCTTTCAAACATCCTGTGTAGTGCTTATTACCTTACAAAACCTATACGCTTAAACTTACTTTAATTGTTCAATTTAAACAAGCTAGAACTTTATCTAAGACTTTCTGTCAGATAGAGTTCCAAGAAATGAATAAAGAGATAAATCTGTAAGAACATTTACGATTCTTTAAGTTTTTACTTTCTGGAAAATAGTTTCTGTTTAGTATAACTTATGAACGACCAGGATCAGAACGTGTTTCTTAGTCGAATCATCGAAGCTAAAAGTGATGATCCGTGGTGAGATTTGACAAGGTGCTTCAAATGGCTTTATGATGCTTCACATTATTCTAAAATAAAATCACGTTCAGTGAAAACACTGCATTATTTTTATTTTTAAACATCATTCACCTTTGGTTGCTAAGATATTTGCTAAACTTACCAGTTACTGAGAACCTCGCCCGCCCTACACTCAGTAGAGGGGTAGCTGTCAGTCTGTTCATGGCCCTACACTGATAACTTCGATATTTGTCTGCCTCATCTACCCTCTGAATCAATAGTTCTCCTGTCGGCAACATGTGGTACTTCCCATCTGAAAAATACAAAGTAACTTAGAGTTAATGTCAGAACTTAACTCAGGCAGAATACCGTTGACGTTGAAAATCTCTTGACATTTATCTTACACGACATGGAATATATCTGAAGAATATATGAAAATTTAAAATAATGGTGGGGGGTTTAAGTTTCAAAATAACTTAAGATTAATGAATATCTTTTAGCTACGTAAGAAATAACTTTCTATTACTTTATAGAGAATGTAACACACTACTAGATTACTTTATATCACACATAATTAAAATTTTAAAAATACATTTCATTTACTCGGTCTTTAAAAATATTTTCAGTATATACAAGTTTCCAAAGGGGATTGCAATAAGAGTTTAAACAGTGGAAATAAGTTTTTTTAGGGAAAATATTAATATAAACCTGTATGATGATACTCATGATAATAGGCTACGTAATTTAGACTTCAGAATAAAATTTAATAACCGCTTTTTTGCTAAATGCGATTATTTATAGAACTTTAAAGAAGTAGATGTATGTTATTTGGTAAGCACGTCAACTTTTTTAAATAACAAAAAACAATTTCTTTCGTTTCTTTTGTTCCCTTAACATACAAACCACTCTTCTTATCATTACTGAAGTAAAAACACAAATAATACTTGTTCACTGTACGAGAAGTAATATTTGTTAAAAGCATTTCTATTGTTTTAACAATATTGCAAACTTGTGCGTATATAGGTCTCCATTAGGGTGAGGCTTTTGTTAAGAACGATTAGAAATACGCAGAGAAGGACTTAAGGGCCAACCCACTCAACTGGGCAAACATTTATACGACTTTTGAAAGTTGAAGTTTGTCGAGGACGTTTGTACGGCAGAAATTATAATTAGATTGTAATTACTGTCTCTTTACTACTGGACAAAATCTCTGTGAATGGTTGAAATTGACATAACTTACACGAAATTCTCCCCCATTACATTTATTTAGTTTGTATGGAATAACTTGTCTTAAATACTATGTTTATAATACTTAGGAAATATTATTTTACAAACGTTTATCCTATTGGTAAAAAGCATTGATTATCATAAACACACATATCTTAAAATACATCTAAATATTACATGACTGGGAAACTGCTTAAATTATAACAGTAGATTTAACTTTGGTTTCGAGGGGAATACTGTATTACTTTTCTAAGACTGAAACCTATGCAACATTATATTTATAAACAAAAGTAACCAACACACTTTCAGTTCTGTGTAGTGATGTATACACCTACATTTATAAAATATTTGTTTCGTTAGCTATTATCTAGCTAATTACCAGTTAAATTAACTGAATGTAAATTGGTGTGTTGATACAAGAGTCATCGATATGAACGCAAATGGCCCTTGATAATAGAGAGTGCCAATGTTGAGGATGGGAGGAGGAAGAGGTTTACAAGAGTCTAATGGTGTTGGCAAGTTACCGGGCCCATGGGACCCTCTCGTAATACGACCACATTTAGAACTTAAGTACAAATTGAGGTCTACTTTTTACCTCCGAATTCTCTCTCGCCCTTTACACAAATCACTATTATGCTAAATTATTACAGTTCGTACTTCTTCCTTACATTTACGAGGTAACGGAATTAGTTTGAAATACAACTGAATCAGGATATATTTTCTACTAAAAGTTTATAATCTGAGAAATTTACTTACAACAAACCCCAAAATAATTGGAAATTAATATTAAACCCTATATGAGTTAATTAGGTACATTTTATTAATTTATTTAAACCTTGTGAAGGAAAGTATCAAGGTAATAAGCATTGAGGTTGTACAAAGACAAGGGAAATATAGTTAATGGTATGACAAAACATACGAAACATACCCCCGCCTCAGCAAACTGCAGACTAAGCGAATTTCCGTTTGCCTGATTGGATGTACAATAAAATGTCTCCTTAAAAATATCACAATTATTCCCTATTTAAATACAATTAGTTTAACGAGTACTTAGGTTTGCTGCAACAGGGAGGGTAATAATGTGTTTTTTTTGTGTTAATAGCTTAGTAAGAAATAGAAGCATTTTCCAAATGTGACCAAAATATGCTCATAAACGAGCAAACAACAACAGTTTACTTATTTTCCATAAGAATAATATGAGAATTTTAAATTAAAATTCTTTTGGAATTTTCTCCGTAACCATAAGGTGCATCGCTTTCAATATAACGCAATATACTAAATGCAACGCTTCAATATACTAAATTATTTGTTTTTAAGCTCTACAAAATAGTTGGGAAAGTTGTTAAATGTTATGTTTTTTTTAGTCAAAAATGGGGAAAATCAGTTTTTGACCCATAAAACGGGTTCCCATAGTCCGATCATGCTGGTTCGCGAACTCGTTCGATTAAATGTAGGTGCACGTTTATACTAAATTTGATCAAAATCGGACCATTTTTGCTCGAGTTATCGTGCTAACGGACACACACATATATTAATTTGAACGGATTGTGTTTTTGGGATCTAGGGATCTCAAAACAAAAAAGTAAATCGGTCCCGGGTCTAGGACTATACTATAAGCTATTACTTATAGTCCTGATTACGAGTCAGAGTAATACGCTATTACCCTGAGTTCTACGGTAATATCTTATTCCCTATATGGGAAATTCGCTAAAAAGAGATACGATGTAGTGAACATTTTAGGTTATATTTAAATATGCTACTGTAACAATCCATTATAATTACTTTTAAAATGTGCTGTTGAAACAAATGATTTTAGAATATTAACATTAATAACAGCCATGTGAAATCTATGCAAACACTCTATGTCTACATTATGAAATTCTTTTGTAATATTTGTTATCATAAAAAAGATTTTACTCAAAATAATACAGTATTTTTTTTACACAACACAATAATGTGCCAGGCGATCAAGTACTGTCTAGTATGGTGGTACTATGCTAACTATGCTACTACTATGCTAGTAACTATGCTGGTTACTCGTCAAGTAGAGTAAACGTCATATGATCTCGAAAATATATGTGTCAAAAGACTTACTTTCCTTACCATAAACTTTACTTCCCCAGTCCAGACCAGCTAAGGCACGTTTTTCATTGGCGAATCCACAATATTCATTTATTTTAAATGTGTTCTTACAACTTATTAAAATAGCAGTATAATAGTTATGTCAAAAGAATATTAAATAACTTCTTGATCAGCATTGTACGTGTTATTAAATTTACGGAAAGTAAACAAAAAAAACGTCTTATAACACTTAAAACACGTATTTAGGCTTGTAACTCACAAGACGGTATATATACATAACAAGATGGTAAGTGAGTAACAGTATAAGCGTAAACATATGTTTAAAGTGTTATAAGATGTTTCTTTTATTTACTTTCCGTAAAAGAATATTAAATATTAGACCACCACCTTTCTAAAACAACAATTTACACTCCAGCGAGCTACCAAAGCGTTAGTATTAGTTTTACACGAAAATATTCACACGACTTAATTTAAAACAAAAATTATCAACGTATAAAGTATAAGTTACGAACTGCTACACGAAGTATTCCCAGCAAAAGGGTTCGAACTTTACCGATGTTTTCGACAAATAATAAATTGTTAAAGCCCTTTGTCTTGCCATGTGAGGGGACCTAGTTTGGATGACTCGTTCAGCTTGTTTTCTTCAGTCTTCAACTACTTAGGACAACTTTGAATAAATGAGCAGCGTTTAATGAGTACACGCTACGCTTGCGCTTCTCAACTGCAGCGTAGGATTCTACGTTTTAATGAGAAAGCTCAACCTGTTAAATAAATGTAGTATTAGAAGACTCGAAATCCTCTCTTAGCGAAGCAGTAATTAAAAACGAGAACCTTAAAAGACGGGAATCTCAGATCTGTGTTTGAGCAATCCCGAGTTTCGAGAAATGTTATTCCTTCCATTGCTTACTTCACATTAAGTGTTTAAAAGCGTGTTTAAATCCGTTTGGAGGTTAGTGGAGTTATTTAAAGCTGAAGTCGACCTATTAAAACAATTGACTTAATGGTGTAAGTTTTTTTTGACATTTTTATTGCCAAAGATTGCTGTATAATTTGATAGGATTTATAATTTCAGTAGTCTTAATGGTAATATCTAGGTCCGGGACGGGTATGATTTTTATTTTTAGATATGTTCTTAGGAATATATATTAGTTACATAGTCTTTATGATCCTTTCAAAATCTCTTCGATTTTAAACAATTTATATAAAATGTATGTCCATGTACATCCATTTCAATAGGTTTTCTAGCCATCCAAGTAAAGTATTTTTTTTGCCATATGAGAACTTAACTCTAAGGAATTCAAGTTTTGAAATTCAACTCTGAATTAGATGTCAAGAAAGTTTGCTGTAAGGTGTATATTTTTAACCACCTTCATTTCATGGTTCAAAATTGATGTTATATTTGAAAAATATGAAAACTGGAAGATTTACCTTTAGTTATTTATTGTCAAACAGTGAATTTAGATAATTCTTTATGATTAGGATATCACATAATTTGTACTCTTACTCATAGGAAAAAATGTACATTTTTAAGGGAGATAGCAAAAACACTGATGAGAATAGCCAACAATCAATATAATTGAATATAACAAAGATTGTTGTGAAACTTTTGCCACAAAAAATATAAATGTATAACTGAGGTTAAGAATAAATATCAAACAAAATGAAAAAGGTAAAAAAGGTTTCATATGCGTGCCATGATCTATACTACGTAATTAACATTTTAAAACTGTATTAAGCTAATTCAGCGAATAGGTTGGTATCCAACCTGATTTAATATTTAATTTAAAAGACAAGTTAATTTCCATTATGTACGCTACAATGCTTTTGATTTTAATGAGTGTAAAATGATAAAATAACAAAATAGTAAGACAGTTTGAATATTGTAAAAAATATGCAATAACATGTATTAAAGCAGGATATTAAATTAGGTGCATCGAAAATTTTGTAGTTAATTAAATGAAAGATAGGAAATTTAATATAAAAATATCTCCACCCATCTTTACATTTTTGCATGGATGTAATTGAGACGAAGCTATACATTTTCTATTATTTTCGTGTATTTGTTAAGAAAAAGTGCAAACAAGCTCTTAGAGAAAGCTTTTAATCCTAAACTCGTATGGTTAGTAATTATGTGAGAAAGAAATTAATTTTAATACAACCAAACATGTCGTAATACCCAATAAAAAACTAATATGGATCTTTGTGTAACTAGTTATTTTTGTATGTAAACGATTTAGAACAGCAAACAATCAATGAGAAATCATCGCGCAATTGAGCATATCAATTAATCAATTACATGATATTAATGTACTGAATTTATATATCATGATTACACATAATATTAACAGCATTTTGATCACTTCAATTACATGGATACTGCCTTTTATGACTATTGATAACAAGAATCTATTAGTTTTAGCAAGATTGATGCGTTGACCAAAGCTCTAAAATTGTATGCTGAGAATGTATGGGCTTTAAAATTGAATATTTGTAGCCTCCACTGTACGCGTAGGCCTGATCTCGCACCGTCAAGTTTTTTTATCTTAAAAATACCCATAGCCCGATCAAAAATCTTGATTGTTGTTTTATTGTAAATCTTTCGGATAATCAAAATTAAACAAGCGAAGCAAGGTTAAGTAATACGTTATATGAACTGTTAAACCTACTAAAATGTGTCAAAAAGGTTTTAAGATTTTCTTACAGTTTATTAGTAATGTTTAATAGAAGACAATCGTTTCCAGTGAGGTTTACAATTTCTATTATCCTAGATATTAGCTATTTGGCTTTTTACAGAGTTTCCCTTATCTAAAAAAATTAAGGATAATTTTTCTCGAGCTTGGTAAAAGCTTCAAGTTAGTTTAAAGAACTACAGACAAAACCAATCAATTAGCAATTGCAGGGGAATAATTCCACTTCCTCTCTGTGTACTATTGTAATGCGAGATGAAATTACAAACTGGTAGAACTTCGATATCTTAACCTCAATATGGCGAGGAAATGGTAAAATGATTAAATATACACCGTGTCCCAAAAAAAAACTGAACAATTTTAAATTGATATATTATACGTCCAGGCATACCTAGTCTACTTTGAAGGTGATCATATGATAACTGAGCTCATGAAGTTTTGTTCAATATCAATTGTAACTATCAGCTGATTCATTGTTGTCGCTTGAAACTTGACATTTAAAAACATTGCCGTCATTAAGCAGGCACCATGAACGCACGAGAGAAAGCGCAATGCGTTGAGTGGTACATTCAAAGTAAGTCAGATATTGCAGTGCAAAGAACATTAAGAAGACGCTATGGTCGACGTCCTCCATCTCGGAACAGCATTCGAGCCTGGTATGACAAATTTATGTTAACTGGAAGCTTACAACATTTAAAAGGTAAAGGTAGGCCGTAAATCCAAAATGAATTGATTGAAAACGTGCAACAATTATTTCTTTACGACCCTCGAAAGTCTGCTCGCTGTGCAGCATGTGAGTTAAATTTGTCAAAATTATAAGTTTATAAGACAGAAGTTTCCGATGTCCGAGAATTGAGGCAAAGAATAAATGCAGCCTTTACTAACATTACTGACGAAATGCGCCATAGAGTGTGGGCTGAATTGGACAGCCGTATTAACTATCTTTTTGCCAACAATGGCAACCATGTTGAAAATCATTAACACATATGAAATCAAACAAAACTTAGGAATATTTGTGTCAGTTAAAATGTAATTAGTTTATCGTGTGATTGTTAATAAACTTTTTATAAGTAAATAAAATTGCTCAGTTTTTTTTTGGGACACGGTGTTCTTCACACTGACGTTTTATAAGTTTTTCTGTTGTATTGTTAAAGCATGCTTAAACCAATTTTGCACTACAAGTCGACAATATGTTTTTGAAATGCGGTCTTATAAGCTTGTAGTATTTCTTTTTGTCAGACCAATTGCACCATTCTTAGTGTCATCATTATTAGCCTCCTTTAATAATTTTGAATATTCTTTTAAGCACCATAACAATTTTCATAATCTACTTGACAAAAAAGAATATAGCTTACCTCCTTTAATGGACGGATATATATTGAAGGAAGAGTCTTGAAGCCACGAAGTAACCGTTATGTAGTCTTTGACGAAACTAGGAATAGAACACTTGAGGAGAGCTGTGTTTCCACGAATCACGGACTTGGTGTATTGGACACTCAGCTCGTAGTATTGTAGCACCACTGAAATGCATAACAGATCATTGTAGTGCGTAACAGAACTTTGTAGTGCATACTAAGCAACTGAAATGTATAGTACAACAATGAAACACATAAAGCACATTTCTTATAACCACATTAATACTTTTGACTCATAGTCAAATGCAACAAATGCCGCTGAAACACGAAATATATACTTAAAACTCTATTTCCATAGACAAAAAGAATTAAATACAGGGTGATTGATATAAGTGTGCCAGACGTTTTATTCGAAAACTATAAGAGATATCAAAAAAAGTTAAATAGTAAGTGCCTTGGATTTTTTATTTAAAAAATTGTAGTCAAGTCAAAAAAATTATTTTAGCCGCCATTTTTCCAATATGGCCGCCAACTTTGATTTTTCTTATGGAACACCCTGTATTTTATGATGTATTCTGGTAGAAAATGTAATTTTAAGACGATTTTATTATTGTCATTTTTTTCATAAACCTAACCGTTTCAAAGATAATAATGGTTAAAGTTTTGAAATTTCTGCATGAGAAAGAGTTTCGATAAAGGCCTAAGCAAGCATGCCAGCTGTTTTATTCGAAAACCATTCAAAAATTCACAACTTAAACCTTTATTATCTTTGAAACGGTTAGGTTTATGAAAAAAATTACATTTTCTACCAGAATACATCATAAAATACAGGATGTTCCATAAGAAAAATCAAAGTTGGCGGCCATATTGGAAAAATGGCGGCTAAAATAATTTTTTTGACTTGACTATAATTTTTTAAATAAAAAATCCAAGGCACTTACCATTTAACTTTTTTTTATATCTCTTATGGTTTTCGAATAAAACGGCTGGCACACTTATATCAATCACCCTGTATAGACTCTCAGCCGTGCTACGGTTACTGTGGTTACCATAGGCTCTGACGCACACCGCTAGGAGCGATGAGTAGATACGTAGCATGTACGCCATAACTACATGGCGCTCCCACCGGTGGATGCAGAACCTATGGTAACCGCAGCATGGCTGACGGCCTATTTTTAATTCTTGATGTCTATGTTATAAGTGATCAATAAAAAGTTAGATTAAAAGTTGCGATAAACAAACACACACAATATTACATGAATTGAATCTAATCAATTATAGTAACACCGATTAGGTGATCAGTTTATTTTATGCCAGTAGAAGTAATGTAATATTTCAAATAAAATATTTTCTACTTCATAGAAAAGGATTCCTAAAATAATTAGAATTTTGATTTTGCATACATCTCACTTTTTAGAAACTAAAGGTCTGATGAAACACCCCAGTTCCTTAACTACAATATAATCTAATGAAATAACACAAAACACTAAATACAGTCCATTATCGGGTGAGAGTGTTGCTCAAAATGCAGTAAGCACATTTAATAACTTATGTTTTATGCGGAGAAGGGAGCTATTTTTAATGGCGTTAAACAATAGGTTATAACAATTGTAACTTTAGGTAACTTAATAATTGACCTTCCAAACTAAACTAGCGGAAAGGTAAGATACCAAAAGCAGTTCAACAATCGTAAAGCCGCCCAAAGACTACACGACTGTGTATAATGGTTTAAAGCTTTTATTGTTTTTTGCATCATCATGCTGTTGAATTTAAGTATTATTACCGATGTTATCTGGGTTCTGATTTTTGTATTTAGTCTTTTGCCTAGCCTTCAAACTTCCGATTCTTTGTTGAGCCTATTTTGGATGCCTTGAAAAATATTTTGAAAATCAGATCTCATCATTAGTGCCAATTCAGCTTTTTATTTCACAATATAAGTTTTAAGACGTCCTTTTTAAGCGGTGGTGTTCACTTATTTCCCTAATCAACGATTTAGAAGCTACAGACATTATTTTACAGGCTTTAAAGCTTTTGTGAGGTGATTTTAGGTCAAATCCTTTAGGTATCAAGTTATCACAGTTATTTTTCACAAGAAAGGTCAAATGATTTGTGTGACTAGCCAACAATATTAACTCACTATCACCAACAATAAAAAAAAAAAAAAAAAAAAAAAAAAAAAAAAAAAAAATCACCAACAATACACTTATGTACATTTTTACCGCTTAAGGTTTAGAAGGTGCAATATTTCATAAATGTTTATATTCATTACAGCTGTAATTTAACTCTTACAGTTATTTTATTATAATTAACTCTTGAACCGAAACCATAAACTTTCTTCTTTTTTATAGGGACAAAAATGTTGAGGCGAGCTTAGGATTAACGGATAAAGCGGAGTCGAGTAGCGAAAAGTCACTTGGGAAAGGCAATGAGTTTTTTCCATACTCCACAACAACTGGTAGACTGTTTCCATCAATATCGTCTATTAATTTTAAATCTACTTTATTGGTTGTTTTATCAAATTTGCACAGTTGTATTGTGGCCTGGCCTTGCTGAATTGTTTTCAAAGACGAGGTAATGTAACAACAGATTTACTCGACAATAGTTGATATTTTTAGCGAATTTCCCTATAGGGAAGTAGCTATTACCGTAGGTCTCATGGTAAGACTTAGGCCCGGGACCGATTTACTTTTTCATTTTAATGTCCCCAGAGGCCAAAAACACCATTCGTTCAAATTTTTATATATGTATATATATATATATATATATATATATATATAGGTATATATATATATATATAGATTTATATATATATATGTGTGTCCGTGAACACGATAACTTGAGTAATTTTTATCCGATTTTGATGAAATTTGGTTTGAAGGTGTAAGGCGGAATAAACTTGAATGAGTTCGCGATCCAGCATGATCGGACCATGGGAACAGGGTTTTATGGGGGGTTTTATGGGGTAAAAATTGGTTTTTCTCACTTTTTACCCTCAAAACACAAAATTTCCCAATTTTTCTCTAAACCTTCTTAAAGAGCTTAAAAAAACAAACAATTCAGTATATCAAAGTGTTTTTGTACGGTTATTGGTTACGGATAAAACTAAAAAAATTGTAAATTTAAAATTCCCATGTTATTCTTATGGAGAATATTGTAAAATGTTGTAGTTTGCTTGTTTATGGATATATTTTGATCAAACTTGGCAAATTTATTTATTTTATAGTAAGCTATCAATATTTTACTAAAAACACACTACTTTATTAGTTTCCTTGTAGCAGCAAACCTAGGTACTCGTTAAACCTAATGTTATTTAAATAGATCAATTGAAAATCAATTCGGCCAAATGGAAATTCGCTTAGACGGCAGGTTTGCTGCGGCGGGGGTATTTTAAAGTATGCACCGCAGTAAACGCATTTAAAATATCACTTTTTGCAGCATTATAATATAATATTACTTAAATAATGATACCGTGAAGTTAACTCGTTACTGAAGGCCTAATATACAGAGTGTCTTGCAACGATATGAACAAAATTTGTTGCGTTATTCAGCATCTCAAACGAAAAATGTAATATAACATGTGTCCTATCTCATTCTGTTTTCGGTCTATCTGTCTGTATGTGTTTTTTACAAAAATGTTCACAACCTTGATGGTTTGAGCCATAGCGTTGAAGTTCTACAGACATGTTTATCATCTTGACAGCTATATTTTTAAAAATATGAATAAAACTCCTTAAACTATTTGAAAATGGCGGCTATTTAAAATATGTATGCCAAATTTCATAAAAACCTTTGATTTCACAAGGAAATTGCAAAATATGTAGATTTGGAAAATTTCATACAGAATTCAACCACATCTCTTCAGCTTAGTTTGGAGAAAAAAAAAACTGTTCTTCCCATACCTACATCCATTTATCCATTTTATCCATTTAAACAATGCTAACAAGTAGTTTTATTGATTTAACATGGTATGTAGCTATGTAATAATATTAATTCCTCAGTTATTATTTGTGCAATCTAAGCCATAGGCTTGAATATCGTTGAAATCTGCATAGAATTATCTATAATTTTGCATATTTTGCAACTTTTTTAAACTATCGCTTTTTATGGAATTTGGCAGTATTTAAAATAAGTGCCATTTTCAAACGGTTGAAGAGTTTTTATTAATATTTAGCACAAAGATAGTGCCCAACAAGATAAACATTATTGCTGAGTTTCAACGATACAGCTCAAACTATCAAGGAGCTATGAAGTTTGTAAAAAAAAAACACATCCAGACAGATAGACCAAAAACGGAATGAGATAGGTCACATGTTATATTAAATTTTTTGTTTCTTTTGTCATGCTACATAACATGACAACGTTTGTTCATATGGTTGCAAGACACACTGTATATTCCATCACATGGCAGACACACTACTGAGGGGAAAGACAAAGGTAATCAGAAATGCACTGTATTTTATAGCACAGAAACGATGCAATAGGCCAAACAACACTACGTATATACCACAACACTTTGAGGTATTGGTGCGTGGCTACACCATCACAATTGCCACCAGTAGTATTGCAATACCATTTAGACCATATAAAGCCCACTATACAAGATGTATACAGCTCTAATCCATGCATCGACACAGGGAGAGCTCACTGTGGGATTATACACTACCCTTTGTAACAACTCATACAACCCATCAGAGTATCTCCGTACTTCAGTTCAACTTTATGAGATAAAATTAAAATTTAATAATTATATTGTTTCTGTCTAAACTGTTATGGTAAAATAATTACTACAACTATTTTCGTACATATAAAAATATTTAAAGTGGTTACATTGAGCAAGGTTGACGTGGAATAAACGGTGATTTATTATGAAAATATTCTATTTTGATTTATTTGACTATTAATACTATCAATACAGGTTATAATTAGGTCTACCTCCTACGTATATAGTATTGTGAAATGTATAGATATATTTTAGTCATAATACTATGAATAAAAAAATATAGTTTCATTTTGTGGAAAACTATATCAACAATACAAGTGGTGCTGTGGCTGTTAGCTATCAACAAATTAACTTATGTGATAACTTTGATATAACAGATCAAAATAGTGCTAGTACTATAACATACCTTTTGTGCATTGTAAGATGTTTTTAGGTTTGTCAAGGG